GAGGAGGGGCACGGGCCAGCCTGTGTAAGGGAATTGGGGCACGGGGCGGCCTGTGTGCGAGAGAAGGGGCACGGGGCGGCCTGTGTGCGAGAGGAGGTGCACGGGGCAGCCTGCTTGTGAGAAGCGGGGCACGGGCCAGCCTGTGTAAGGGAATTTGGGCACGGGGCGGCCTGTGTGCGAGAGAAGGGGCACGGGGCGGCCTGTGTACGAGAGGAGGGTCACGGGGCAGCCTGCTTGTGAGAAGCGGGGCACGGGCCAGCCTGTGTAAGGGAATTGGGGCATGGGGCAGCCTGTGTGCGAGAGAAGGGGCACAGGGCGGCCTGTGTGCGAGAGAAGGGGCACGGGGCGGCCTGTGTGCGAGAGGAGGTGCCCAGGGCAGCCTGTGTGCGAGAGGCGGGGCAGCCTTCTTTTGCTGTAAATTTTGTGTTTTAGCAATCACACTATAATCTATAAACGTGACTTGTTCAAAACAATGTTGTTGCAGCTTGCAATATGTTAATTTATCTACAGTACGTATATCAAACCGATAACAGTACCGTTATAGTATCGGACCAATAAGTAGTATCAGTAGGAGTAGTAGTACCATTAAAATCTTAATGATACCCAGCAAGAAACTAAAGCTGGTTTGTAGCTTGGAGGATAAGCATCAAACCCTTATTCAACCGTGTTTGAAAATTAACTGCAATTATTTATACATAATTGCATTTGACAAATATAGGCATAGTTTGCTTTGGAAGGTAGTTGATTACTACCAGTTAAAGTTAGCTATTTCTCAATCCGGATGCTTAGCCCTCTGGCTTGCTAGCTAGTCGTGACTTGCAATAGCATAGCATTCTGTTTAACATTACAGAAGGAGTGAGTATCATGACAGTGAGTTGAAAGCTTTTACCACCAGAATCACAGGTTATAATTAGTAAAACACTGAATTACATTTGTTATCTCCAGGTCAAGATGCAGAGGAAAAATTTCAGTATTGTTTAAAAAAATGACAGAAAGCCCCAGTCCTGTCAAATTAAAGAAATTGTGTCATTATTTTCTCTGTTGTGAGGGGAAGACCCCCCTACTCTAATTATGACCCCACAGAATTTTGCCTTGCATAGTGCCTCTGGTAAATGCTGTACTAAAAGTGAATCCCACTTTAAAAGGATTTAAATGGCTCATAAAAGGTTAAAGAAGGGTCTTTCTGTTGAATTGCATCATATTACCACAATAATACTGCATATATAT